TATATATATATATTTAAGAAAAGTGGAATCCAATGTAAATGTTTAATAACAACAATAATACCACATAAAAAAGAAAAAGGGATAACAATTGTAACATTACAAATAAAGAAAAGATCAGTGAGCGAAAATCTTAAGGCGTGACCAATTGTATGAAGGTTAGCCTAGCGACCACTCACGGGTTAACTGTTTACATGGATAATTTTTTGTTGATGTTTTTTTTTCATAATATAAAGCTCATTAAAATATTATACCTCTTAAGAAAAACATTGAGTCATGAACCATTTTCTATAACTATTTGTCTTATATCTAACTGTAGCCTAATTATTTTGATTTATTTATTTGAACACAATAATTCAAAATCTTTAATCTGAGTCTTTCATTTAGTGAATACAGATAAAGTTTGTATTGTTTAATAAAAATTGTACATGTGCATGCAGCACACATAAGTGAAATTTACTCTCGTAAAATCACAAATGCCTTTTTGTTAGATTGTGTGTTTTGATTTCTAGAAAAAAATTATTTTTTGGCTGACAGCTCTCCCAAAAAATAACAAGAGTTCACAATGGTCCGCTATTTTACACCTAATAATCTTTATAATAATTTATATCCATTTATTCATTTTAATAATAAATTTGTGTGCAGTGCATTGTTAAACTATATACATTCTATATTAGTTAATAACACTTAGAACATCTCTTATATCTAATTAGGCTCTAACTTTACACTGTAAACACTGAATAAAGTTTATAAACAATTTTCAAATTTTCGTTGTAAATAAAACAAAAATGTTAGAAACGGCACTACTTTTTTTTTTGTTACCCTAAACATCAAAAACAATCAAAACTATTAATCTTTGGTCATTTTTATTGTACAAATTTAGCACAAATTAAAATAATGAAAAAACAAAATTAATATCAGCACATCAATAGATAAACATTACCTTTGTTCTTTTCCTTTACAAAAAAGAACCTTTGTCACCTATTTGGTGTTCAACTTACCGTGAATTGCCATGAGCAAACATACTAATATTTAATTTAAATAAGTCACAATAATGTTATAAATGTTATTGGTTAAACCTTCTTTTTATTGGCTATTTATTTAATAAATTGACAAATACAACATGGTCAAAATGTTGTAGTGAGCAATCTTTACCTTCTACTATACGTTTTGAAAGTAGAACTGGACAAATTGCTGTGTTATGTTATTTTTCTTGGCTATCATTTATCCAAACGCTTTTTCTCAAATGTTTAAAAATATGTTTTAATTTCATTCTTTATTCATAAACGTTCATCACAATTAAAATGGCAGTGATTGTTATCCAAGTATTATCCAACTTTAATCCAACGGTCAATGGAATATTCCAGTGCTGCAAGCCACCTAAAACATAGGTTATAAAAAAACATGATTAAAAGAAGGCAGCGTCTGTGGGCTGGATCAACAGAGTAGCTCTCTAATATTAAGAGCACTGTTGATGGGTGGCCCTCAGAGGATATGATTCATAGAAAAAGTGTCATCCTCACCCGATTAAGAATAGGCCTTGCGAGATTGACACATGGAGACTTATTTTTGGACCAAAAAGCCCGTGCATGTGGCCGGCAAGCAAAGAAAGGTTACTTAATGTGTCCACCTAGTTATGTGGAACTACAACGACGATGGGTGGTACATTGTGGTTAAGGTTTGGAGCCCATGAAAGGTGTGCCTCGTGTCCTCATCCACGTCCCTCTCTCAACCCAAATTCCTTCATTCTTCCCTGTGACCCTTCCCAACCCTTGGTTACAAGGGGGGTGTCCAGGTAGAAAATAATGGACAGCCCTGAGGGCATGGTAACCTCTCTAAAGCACAAGGTGTACTTGGGTTGGCACGGGGCAGCGGGTGCCTTATCAGAGGCACACGAGGGTTAGGGTACCAGATCCTGTCTGCACAGACGGGGGAGGGTGAATAACCATCTGTACTAGGGGGTCACAGAAATGTTCCAAGGTTCAGCCCCTGTTACACTGGGAATGGACTCAGTGGTTCGTGGTGACGCACCTGGCGGGAACTTAGACAAGAGGCTGTCTTCTATCTGTGACCTTTGACCATCGTTATACACTTGCCCTCATGGGATACGGCGGATCGAACCGAAGCGTGTAAGCATTGAGGATGCAATGATTACACTGTCAGTGTCCCTCGAATGCGTGAGTAGTGGCGAATGAAAATGGGTAGTGTATCGGTTGCTCCTATTCGAGTATGCTTTGCACGCAGGTGTAGGTTGAGCTCGATTGGAGGCCTTTACCGTAGGCAGTCTCCTCTAGGGGGTGGTTAACAATTCCACTTCAAACAAAACTGCCGCTGGAGCAGATCCGGTAGTTTCTACACTTGGGAAGCCCCAATACTCTGGGAGATAAAGTTATCCTTCTCTGTCTAGGGAGTGCGTGGGAGACCAGGCTGACGTATTTCAGCTTAGGTAGCCCTTTGCGCATGGCATACGATTCGATTCTTAATGCGGACTCGACCACTCGGAATGGGCAAGCAGGGAGCGAGATTGTCTTGGCCCCTCGGGGCTGGGCTGCCTGTACACCAATGCTGTGACAGTAACACCATTCTGTCGTATGTGGAGGTGCGTCAGCTCTCATTTTGAGAATTAAAACGTTCGATAAGGCTGGAAAGCTAGTGCGGATGTTAAAGATCCTCATTGTCCTTTTAAGGACAACTGAGTAAAAGGGAAAGCAATGTCCTACCTAGTTGAAGGGTGCAATTCCTTGGCTCCATCCAGAGAGTACACAGGAGTGCCACCCAATTTAAGAATTGTGCTTGAGCACGGCAACAACTGTTGGATCCCCTGTTTCGTTTCTTGGAGGAAACAGGGTTGTTCTATTGAATATAGTAAAAGTATTTGTGTGTACCTAGTTTTTGTTGAGTTAATGTTCTTATTAACATGAATGTGATGTGAGAGGATCGATGGCGGAATATCAAGTAACCCATTGACCCTCAATTAGGTTAATTACATAATATGTGTAAAGGTAAAGGGTGATAGAGAAATATTGAGTACTTCGTCACCCTAACTGAATGTATGGTTTGTAAATAGGCGAGAATGCATTGAAGAATGAACTTGAGTATGAATGGATTTTGAACTACATGCGTTGGGTGGTGAATTGACCTAGGTGTCTGAGGATAACCTCGGTGGCTGGGTGGATAAGACTGACTCTCCTGGCAATTTACTGTAAATTGCAAAAGCTGGAACTATCGGTGTACTACGAGAAGCGAACAGACCTAATTCACCACGTATTTGTATGCCACCATATTCCAAAATGTACATGTATGAATAAGAGCCTATATAAATCCAAAACATAGGTTATGTTCAAACTAATTTTTAAATTTGTAATAAAAGTTATACCTTTTCTTGTCAAGTTCTGTATCAGTGTAAAAATAAAAATGCATTAAAGATTGATCAGGGGGATAAAGTTCAAAAGCAAATTTTCTCGATGCAGAAGTTGAGCTTTGAACTCGGTAGCCATGCAGACACACCATACCTAAAACAAAACAAAATCAGTTGTTTACCATTGAAGATAATAATTGAATATTTAGTGACAGCATGCCTTATAAATTAACTGTTTATGCTAGTAATTTAGTTTATTTAAAAATAATTATTTTCTATTAGGGCGGATGTCATGTATCAAAAGAACTGTTGATAGGTGGCCCTCAGGGAATCTGACTTGTAGTAGATCCTCACCCAGGATATACCATGTGAGGTTGAAATACTGTTGCGCCAAGCTCACATATGTGTCCAGCAAGTAGAAAAAATTTGCTCGATGTGTCCCACTTAAAGGAAGAGTGCCATTCCTTGGCTCCACATAGAGAGCACGTAGGAATGCCAACCAATATGAGAATTGAGCTTAAGCAAGGCAGCAAGTATCTGGGTCCCCTGTTCCGATTCTTGGAGGAAAAGTGTATATGGTACTAATAGTTTAGTCCCCTACTGTATGTTGAGAATGAATGTATTTATTAGTAGGAATGTGTAGTGTGAGAGGGCTGATGGTGGAATACTGAGTACCCCATCAACCTCAAATAGGTTTTTTATATATAAAGGGCGATGGAGCAATATTGAGTACTCCACAATCCTAATCAAATGAATGGTGTGTAAATAAGAAAAAAAGTTAAAAAAGAAAAGGAAAGCGGGATTCGAATCATCGATCTTCAGCTCAATACTCTATTGCTCAAAACATTTAAGCTATCATGACTTCAACCAACTCGGACACCGACTCCTCATTCCAACCTACAACATTTCGAATTTTCCCTTTTTGCCATTCTGCATATTATGCAATTTTTCTTTTTTGCATTTGTTGGACAATTCTCATAGACCTTATCGTTATCATTTATCATTGGATTGAAAACTAACACATCATAGTGACCATGAAAGCCATCAAAGTAATAAAGAAGTAATAAAAAAATTGGCCCAGTTTTGCTAAAGTGGTTACATTATCCCAAAAAATGTTTAAACTCATGTTGTAGACTCGTGTGATGAAGATCAATTGGACGTGGCTCCTACAGTCCATAGGCCTTCATTAACTTTAAGTATTCAAACTCAAATAATCATAAAGTTCTGAGCCTGCATTGAAATTGTAATATTTTCCACTCAGAAACAACATGACCAATGGTTTTGAGCCAAACGTTTTCCATAAAATCTTGCTCCATAGACAACTACAATGTCCTACATAGACAGATGCCATCACCAGTTACTTCAATTTTAGTTGGGCTTAGCCCTGAGAAGGGCTGATAATACAGCCTAAGTTTAGCCGTGAAAAGGGCTGCTTGGAATTGGCTTTGGATATGTTGTCAATGGAACTCATAATGAAATACTGAATAACTTTAGCCAAAACTTTTGTAATATTATAAAGAGAAATACTTCAGTCTCACTTACCAAGAGCTATCTCTGCGTTAATATCTGAGTAGAAATACATGGATGCATCTTTTAGAATGCAAAAACGCCTCCTCCATGTTTTCCCTCGGTGATGAACTAATGTTGATAACGTTCCAGCACAATCAGGACGGTGAATTTTAGTTGGAGGAGCGTTCAAACAAGTCTCAGACATCCACGAGGGAACCTGAAGTGAATCGTTATATAATAACTTCCACAAAATGTTTGGTTTATTCACCTTTGGTTGGCATGCTTCTTTTAAAGCAGTCATCCATTGATCTGCTTCACCCTGTGAAGCTGCCGCTAAATGAAGCGAGGACACTCCTTTCTTGCTCAGACGGAAACTGTGTGGCTTATCAGAATCAGACTGTACCACCGTGTAGTCGGAAACGTGAATGGCTCCCAACGGTTGACCACCCTGAAATATTACAATATAAATCCTTACTGTGGAAGATATTGATTCCACTTACAGATTCAGATTTGTAATGATAAAGGCATTGATCTTGTTTCAACACAAAATAACGCCAAACCCAGTTGCCTTTCACTTTCATACTCTGGCTCAACCTATATAGACAGCCAGCTATTATTGGACTTGGAAGAGATGTCCGTGACACTTTATCGTATGTTCTTGCAACTTCAAGTTCAAGTATATCAGCACCTACAAAAAAATGTAAACATCAATTGTAGAATATTGAGAATACTGCTGTAATAAAATACACCAAAGTTTAGCCAAAACTGGAAAATGGGTAGACTCAAATAATTTGTATTTTGTATGATTTGTAGCATTACTCATCCTATTTTTTTATGTTATACTTTTTAAGATTGTACACTTTAGCATTAATGAATCAACTAAGTTATATTTTATTTTAAAAAATGCAATCTTACCAGCATGTGCTAATTTTACAACTTCAGAGTGTGTTGCATCGAGTACGTTGATGTTATTTACATTAATTATTATGTCACCAACTTCCAGTCCAGATGATTCAGCTGGAGTTCCTGCTTCGATGCAAGAAACTACAACAGGTTTTGAGCCGTGTATTCTAAAGCCAAATTCACCGGTTCCTCTTTTAACAAGTACTCTTTTGTCAACTTCTGTAAACAAATAAAAACATCAGCAGTAAATTAAAACACAGATTGATTATAGTTTGACTAACCGAAACATTTTGAAGCAAGTCTTTTATACATTTCTAGGCTGGATTTCCTGTGGACCATCCTGTGTGTGATTGCCTGGTATTTTCGACGGAATTCTTCCTCAGAGTGTGTTGACTCAATTGAGTCCTTCCGACTCTTTTGTATGTCTTCATTTTCTTCATCTAAAAATTATAAAAATAAAACTAATATTGGCAAATAATTGAATTTTATAACTAACCTCGGCTATCTGGTCTTTGCCAAACTTGCAGTTCTTCAGGACCACCTATGTACACCCAAGTGCCAAAATTATATGCGTCAAGGACAACTCCACTCCAATCATCATCATCATCAAAGCTGCTTTGAATATGTAATTTTTCCATACTAGCATCTGTAGATCGTGTTAAAGGACTGAAAATTTAATAATTTAAGTCATTATTCTTTGATGTGTTTCAAACAAAAGCTACCGGATTTTTTCTTTTCTATCTTCTCTAGCTCTTTCCTCAGATTTGGCCCTAGCAGCTTCAGCATGAATGCGGTTACGCCTTTCTTCAGACCTATACCTTTTATCAGCCTTCTTGTAGTGTCTCACTCGGTGAGGAGTTCTTGGCGAGTCTTCAAAACCTGCTGGCGGTTGTACAATATCTGCTTCAGGCTTTTCCAGTGTGCCCTAAATTTTTTGTGCATGTAATATAAAAGTTGCATTGTAATAACTACAAATTTACCTGAGGGCTTTCATACTGTTGTCCACAGTGCTGACACACTGGTTGACTTTTCAAATCTGTAACTGTGTTGCTACTTGGCTCGCTGTAAAATACAGAATCACTCCCAGGGCTTACAGACCTTAGAGACTCAGCACTCAGGGCTTTCAGACGTGTTGAATCAGGACTAGTGATCCCACCCTATAAAATATAAATTATAAACTGTTTTCATATTTATATTTGTTTTTAAATTTATTACTTTTATGTGCTGCCTGCTAGGGCTTCCCCCAGGACTTAAAGCAGAATGAGGACTTAGTCTTGCCATATGTAAAGAATCGTCAACATTTCTAACTGGACTTGGAGACTTAGTAACTATCGAACATCTCCTTTTGCCCAGGTCTTCCCCACTAACGCTTCGCCTCCTTTCCCTTTATAGATAAATTAATTAAAACTGTAGAAAGCATAAAAACATTATGTACCTGGGCAGAGTTGTTGGACTTTTTGCAACTGGGATCTTCCTTCTCTGAATCTCCCTAGTCCTCTTCTTTTTTCCACAAGTGCATTCATCACTGGATTCATCAGAACTATGTGCTCCAATACCGTTACTAATTTTGACTTTCTAGAAAATAGATAAATTATTTTATAATAATTTTTATTGCTTTATTTTTAATGTTGCAAAATTTAAAACAGAAAAAAAATAATAAGTGTAGAAGTATTTTTTTAAATTTTTTCTAGGGAATAATATAAGCAATAATCCATGCACTATTAAAAAAAATCTCAAGTCTGAATGTAGATAAAACTAACATAAAATCAACAGAATTATAATATGAACTGATTTTAGTAGAAATAAGAAAAAAGAGGATTCGCCAACATTAGAAGTGTTTTCAATTTTTAGATAGTATGATAATTAAATTAAATAGAATAGGTAGTAGAAATAAAGAAAAGGTAAGTTCCAAATGTTGGTAATAATTTAGGTAATGATTCATAATACAGAACAAACAAGGAACAAACAAATGGTACACAATTCAACATTAAACACATTAACATGATTTATGAGAGTAGAATTGACAAAATATAGGCCAACTTTTTTTAGAAAAGAAATGTAATACAACACCTAACGATGGAAATGGGTACACAAAAAATGTTTAAATATAAAAAAGCTTGTTAAGTCTGTTGATAAAGCTTGACTAGCATGTAAGCTCATTGATATGGATATAAGTGAGATATTTAAGCACTTTATGGGTAGTGCAGAATGATTCTATGTATATTTCCTTGCCTAAAATGACATTTATTATTTACATTATCATCCAGAGTCAGTCGTGCCGTCAATTCTTCTTTTTTGTATGTTTCATGAACCCCGGGACTTCTAATACTAGGTGTTGTTTCTCTGCTTCCCTAAATTATAAGTTTGGCATTTGGTTCTGTTAAAAAACAAAAAGAAGGCAAAGATGACCTGACGTTTTCAATCTGCAATACCTGGGTCGGTGTTCGTTTGCTCGGTTGGCTTGGTGTTTTCACAGGAGTTTTCTCCTTCTCTTCGACAGGAGGCATTGTCTTCTTCTGCCATGGACTCTTAACTAACAACAAATTTTAAAAAAAATTATAGGCCATTTAGATTGCTAATTTTTGAGTGGAGTCACATTTTATCGGAAAATGTTTGACCAGTCTTACATTTGTCAAAAGGAAGATAACAGGTTGGTAAAGATAAAAGACTAATTTTATATTTTAGGTAAACACCACTATAGAAAATACTTGTACAAGTACAATAACATAAAATGAATAGTTATTAGGTTGAATTATATATACAGGGTATTTTTTTTTTTTTTTTTAATGTAGTACTGGAAGAAAATAACCAATTTATTAAATTATAGCCACTTTTATCTAGCCATAAAATTTTTTTTTGCTGTATGCAAAATCATCTGTTGTACAGAGTTTCATATTGAGGAATGACCTTTGGGGCATCTGAGGATGGTCCAACAAGCATGGAAAGTACAAAATAAAGAATCCATGTATTTCTTGAGGTGGTACAAGAGCTTCAAGCAGCCTGCAATGTGAGTGGTGAAGAATTATTTTTGACAGACCATGACCTTTTCTGAGGAAGGTCGATCATCTGGTATCAGGCCGCTAGAAGAGAAGTTTCTAGCTGGAGAGAGTTGGTAGATGAGCTGCGAGCAGAATATTACCCCTGGACTATACTGATAGGTTATGGGATGAGATCAGATCGAGGACTCAAGGGTCCACAGAATCAACGGGATTTTACGTTGCCATCATGAAGAACTATTTTCACCACTCCAATCGGAAATGCTGAAGATAGGTTATAGAGAACATCCAATTATATTATTTGGAGAAAATGGCATTACAGTTGACACTTATAATACTTGATAAATTTGGCCACTGACTAGAGAAAGCTAGTGCTGTGTGGAAGTTTCTATGTTCCCTCCCCCAAAACGCCTGGAATCAGACCTCACACACACCTTCGGGCTGTGAGGTGGGCGACCAAGACCCGAGGGTTTAAATGCCTGCGTAGACTTGTACCCCATCCCTAAAAGGTCTGGGACTTGCTCGGCTCACGTGTCCTGCATAAACTTCTTGGACCTGTTCACAAACCCCAAGATTTTGGACCATTTAATCTCAGAGAGTGATTTGGTGACGTCCTCTCCTTAATCATCACCCAAAGGGCAGGAATGGTTAGCGGTCATCCAGGATTCTTCGGCAGGAAAGAGCTTCAAGGTGTATCTGACCCCTTGAGGTCAGGTTTACTAATGCAACACTCATGAACAACTCATGAAGGCGGGGGGGGGGAACTCAAGGTGTCAAACTTTCTGAGCTGCACACGACTCATACATTTTTAACATGACTAATAATTCTTAAACTCCTAATATTCTATAATTAATTCTAAAATTAGGAATACAATTGGTAATAATAACAATTTGGTTCACCTGTTGGTGTTGTTCCTTCAGGTTGTTCGATATTAGCTGAGAGTTCGAGTTTGAATCCCTTTTTCACACGTGACTTATCTTCATGTGTCCATTTTCTGTTGGAAAATAACAAGACAAGATTGTACAAGATGAAAAATCAAATAGTAATTCATTCTACCCAATATCTACATTAAAATACCTACAACTACATACGATAAAAGCATTACTAACAAACATTATATTAATGATTTTTAAGTTTGTCAATTTAGGTAGTAATTTATTAACAGTTTTACATTCCATCAACAAATATATCGTGTTACTTGTGTCAAAACTAATTTACGGTTATCAGCAACAACTCAGGCCAAGCAATAAACCATTTAATATACCTTTGCTTTTGGTCTTCAAAAGGTGAATCATAGCCACCTGTTGATGAACAGTGACTTTTGTCTGAATGCCCTAATTTGTCACTACTGCCTTCCACACTATAGCTAAAATGGCAATAAATGAAGAAATGAAGTTATAATTTGATGCCAAAAACAATCAAACATCAGGTCTCATTTTCAATACTCCCATTTATTCAATTAGATGATATAGGTTGAAATTATTGCCTAGTTCACTAGTCTGAATGATTACATTTAATTTATAAAAAAAGAAAATAGGGTTTAAACTAGTTATAAGGTGTTTTAAGTAATTCAGTTTAATGCGTTAGATGTATCGACCACTCACGAATAATTTGCATAGTCTGGATAATAAACAAATTCAATTATTATCTGTCAAACCTTTGACCTATTTTAAGGTCATCATCAGAGCAAAGCAATCTTAAAGGTGTCTACAAATAAACATAATTAAGTTTTTAATAGATGGTTCAGATTTCTTTGAAAAACGACTCAGCCACAACATCGCCAAGGTACACACAGTGTTCTTCAAAGAAATTTAAAACCATCTATTAAAATTTTAATTGTCAGATAACAACAATTTGTTTTTTCATCTACACCATACCGAGATCCAGATTAATTGCGAGTTAAATAATTCAGCAATTTGATATGATTTTATTTTGTTTGTGAATAAAAAGACAAACATTACTTTACAGAAATGATAAAGGTGGGGTGAGTAAGTTGTTTAATTTCATTTAATGTTTAATTTCTTTAAAAGATAATTCTTACAGTTTGTTGTTTTCAACGATCCTGATTTCAAGCAGTAAATGCACATCATCAGTTGAACAAGTTACAAACATATATCTCGACATTAATTGTAATAGTAACTTGTAAATCAACAATATTATGTAATGGAAATCTTAAGTAAATGGGGCTTGAGAAATTTGAAATAAAAAAATGTAAAATTAAACATGGAGATAAATGCGCGAATAATATAATACATTATTCTTTTTATGAAAACTCTTGGTTGAGATAAAAAAAAGTCAGTGACACAAGCAGGATACAAAAATGGATTAATATAATATATTTTGATTTACCACCTATTTTAAACATGTACTTAAATAATATTTGACAAATTAATCACTAAGTTAAAATTATTTTCATTTTTTTACTTACAGTATTTATTATGATTATTTTAGTTGGGTTATAATTTACAGTTTTTACACGTTTAAAATTGAACGATATCAAAAATCAACTTCTCATTGCAATGTTGCATTGGAGGTCGATCGCAGGTTCACTCTTATAATTCATGTCGAGAGACGTGCTTGCAACTGATGAGGAGCGTTTAAAGCTTGAATCCGGAACATTAAAACAAACAAACTTTGAGTAAGATCTATCTTTCATCACATTGTTGATATTTTAATTCGCGTTTATTTGGTTTAATTAAATATAATAGAAGTCACATGTAGTCGGAAAAAATTGTTTTATACAGCAGAGATTTAATAGAATTAGTAGAAAAAAGAAAACAACCTTACATGTGCAAAAAGTGTAAATATGAGAGTCAATATTCTATAGAAAAACAAAAATACAAATAAAATGTGAATTTTATTACAAAATTTTTTTTATAACATTTACTATTCTAACATAAATAAATATGTGATGACTCTATATGCAATAAGAAATAATAAATTACAGTATATACTTAGTACTATATTTAACAGAATAATTTGTTAACGTTACTTTTACTGTTATACTAGTATTCCTTTTAGGGTCATCACAATTAACAGATATATAAGATAAAATGTAAAATAAAATCATGCTTTTTTTATATTTAGTAATTATTTAAAAAAAATTTAGTCATTATGTTAAGCATATGCAAATAACTGAAGGTATAACTAAACCATGCATTTTTTAATTAAAAAAGAAAATAATGCAAAGTTAACATTTATGTGCTCCGTACAATACATGTATTAAATGTCAAATTTGTTGTATAAGTATACTTCAAAATCAACTTTCGATATGAATTCATAAAGATCAGGTTTTTTTGGTGATAAATTTTTTATATTATCATAGGCTTGTGAAAAACAGTTATATTTTGGAGTATACGAATATTTAAGTGCTAAGTAATATTTTACATGAATATATTCAAAGTTGTGGCAAAGTAATCTCTTAAATATAATGATTTTACATGGTAGGAAAGAATTAACTAGAATAATAGGTCTTTAGACTGGCCATTGCCCATTTAATTATCACCTAAAAAATGGGAAGAAAAAGACAGAAACTTGCTGACTCTGTCTGTGAAAAGGCAGAAACATTGGAATATGTCCTTTCTAGATCAGAAATGGTACAGCCTATTTGGAAAGGCGTAATTAACATTTAAAGAAATAAACAAAGAAGATCAATAAAAATTATTTATTAATTTTTATTTTTTATTTATTTAAAAAAAATTAATTTTTTTTTTTTGACTGGGGCTTCTGACATCTAGGTCATTTCAGCCCCAACTAAGTCTATATTCTATTTACTCGTTCAAACACTACATTCATACAAATAAATACATCCATACACATAAATACATCCATACAGTACACTCATTCCTTTGGTCGGTGGAGTACTTGACCTATACTCAAACTAATCTAGATTGGGGTCGATGGAGTACTTTTATAATATTACGCCATTGACCCTGAACACACACTCATACGCTCTCAAAGTTCGAGGGGCGATGATGACGTTATATTTCACCCTCACCCCTCGCCATTCACGCTAATAAATACAAACACTCAGACAAAACATATAGACACACAACACATAAGACATATTATATACAATAAAAAACCTCAATTTCTCCTAAAAAGCGGAACAGGGGACCCAGAAACCTGCTGCAGTGCTCAAGTACTATTTTCAGATTGGATGGCATGCCTACACGCTCCCTGTAGGGAGCCAATGCATGACATGTTTTTCTCTGCATATGGGGCACCTGTGTGGGCTTTGGCACAAGAGCACTTGCCCATGTGTCAACCACGTATGGCTTATTCTTAATAGTGTAAGGACGATTCCTTGTTTCCGGCTCAGGTTCTCGGGGGGGGGGGGGGATCTACGAATCGTGCTCTTGACGCGCAAAAGCTTCTCGGACAACGCGGCCCACTGAAGCTTCCATTTTTCTTTTATCACGTTCTTTACTGCTAGCTTGGCGTCAGAGGGCCTGGTCGTGATGGTTCAGTCTGGAGGGTGGAACGTCCCGGCTTTTGCCGCCTCTCCGCACGTTCATTACCCTCCAGTCCAATGTGTCTGGGATCCAGACAAAACCACTGTTTTTCCAAGGCGCTTCAACTTGGCGAATTTTTCCATCAACAGCACGATGAGAGGGTCTACAGAGAACCCGTCTCCATGAAAATTATTAAACTACCTTAAGAATAGTGCATATTTTTGGTGTTGGAAAAAAAAGAAATAAAAACTCCATAATAAGTCTTTTAGGTCACAGCAGAAGAAAGCGAGACTATGTTTTTACCCCAAAGAAAGAAAAATTAATAATTTAAAGATTAGTTTCAGTATTATTGATTTTTTATTATTAAAAAATAAGTTTTTATAGTTTATTTTTTTAATTTCATGCAAATATTGCTTAGCAAATAAATAATTTTTGTTTTAGCTCAATCATTAGTTATTAGTTAGTTAAATTTTTTTTTGAACTTAATCAAATACCTCCCACAACTGCTACTTTCAGCGCTTGATGTGTCACCATCACCATCGCCTCCTTTGTCTTCTTGCTGTTCAGTGCTGCTTTCTTTTGTTTCTGCTTCAGTGGTTGGAGGAGAACACGGCACCTGAAGATTGTAAAATTGGCTGAACAAATGGCACAAATTGTTTATTGAAACGCACCTGTTGTTCTTCCGTTGCATCAGCCCTCGTCAGGCTGTACACTGATGAACCACTTTCAAAAGACCCTGTCCCTTGTCCGGGTTGAAAGGTTTCCTTTTCAGCCAGATGTGGGCGACTACTGGCATCTGAGTTATTTTCAGTCGCTGTGGCGTAGTCATCAGTTGTGGATGCCTCTGACATATCTGTGTTTGTTTTGCCTGAATCTGATCTTCCAAACGCTTCTGAAGTGACAAAGCAAAAGGGTTAATTGTTTAATTTTTTTTGTTTAAGTAGTGGGAAATACCATTACTGCTAAGTGTCGCTGATGAGGAATGATGCTGTTCTGAATCTGGAGTCCTTGTGCCTGTACTTTTTCGTTTTAATCTCTGACTTGGTGACAATGGACGTTCTTTCCTGCATTGAGAAAATTTATTATTTGCAACATTTGATTTTTTGATAGTTTGACGACATATTTTTCTAAATGCTTGCAAGTGAAAAAAATTAAGCAAAATATGATGTGTGTAACTATTATTCTATTCATTAGCCATCCTACCTCAAGTGTATAGGACTTGTGTGACAAGTTATTGTTAAAGACACAACAATCTTACCCACTCCATCATAGCTTTTATGAAATTTGACTTGCTTTTTATCATTTTTTTGTCTATGAAAAATAATTATTGGTGAACTTATTTATTTTAGGAATGCCTCAACATATAAAATGGTAATATATGTTTCGCTTTACCTATCTTTTTGCTGTTGAACTACTTTTAAAGTCGTAGGTTCTGGAGTTTTTTCCTGCGTTGGTACGGTCACTGCTACAACAGGAATAGGCTTTTCGGTGCAAGGTACTACTCTGGATTTAGCTGGCATTTCCTTATTCACAAATAAAACAAGTTAGATGTTATTATCTTGATAGAGTCAGGTGGTATATTATGTTTATTGCAAAATCTATTCGCTAATATAATTTTATTATTCCAATGATATTTATTGTTCATAATATACAAGTTATTATGTTCTTTCTTATTTTCTTTGGGAAAGTTTGCTTAAACAATCTTTTGTGATTTCCATTTAAAACTCTGTTCTCTTTAATTTTGCAGATTTTTTGATTAACAACCCCTTGTTATTTGAACAAAAAAAAGTAGTTAATAATGAAAACTTTGAATTAAAAAAAAAAAAAAAATGATCAGACAAGCAAGGGTTAACAAGATTTGTTTGTGTGGTCTGCAGGGTGATGGACCTGTGATTACCAGCCATTTTGGTCTGCCTACTACCTTGAGCTTTCCGTACAGATGTTTCGAATTTGAAAAACGGAGGGAAAATTCAAAAGGTGGGGTTGAGATGGGAAGTTAGTGCCCGAGTGGATCGAGGTCATGATAGCTCAAGTGGTACAGCAGCGGCGTATCTAGCTGAAGATCGTGGGTTCGAATCCCGCTAATGACACTGACATTTTTATCTCAACTAAAAACCTTAATTGAAAGGTAGTTTTAATATTCAATTTAAAAGAAATACTTGCTGGTTTGGTATATAATATGTGTTTCAGCACTGTGTTGGGTCTCAGAATATGATGAAATGCCAAAACACATATTATGTCAAGCCAACCTAGTGAGGATAGGCCAATCAAACTCATTGATAATGAGCAAATTAACAGCAAGGGTTTGTTGAAAGTAGTGTGACCCAAAATCCTTAAAATGATGGACATAAATACCAGCAAGCCTAGGTTATCAATAATGCCTATGTAAATTTTTTTTTTTAAAAGTCTCAAAGCAATTTTTTTACCTGTTCTTGTATCTCAACCTCTTCATTATCTAAGGCATCTGTGTCAATGCTTGATCTTTGTTGATGCTGTACCATCAATAGATGCTTTCTTCTTGCAGAAGGTGTCATTGCACTAATGGCCGCACTTGGTGCCAAGGAAGTGCTGAGATCCGAACAACTCATACCGGTGCCTGCACCGTTGTTATCTGAATCGGCATGCAGCACCTGCAATAAAATTAGATGATAACAAAACAGTAGATAATTATTAAGATTCAGCTTACAGTCATCTGCGACTCATTCCAGATGCTGTCACTGTGGTCTTTTGTATTCAAAGAATCGCAGGAAGCGAAGGGCGAAGGGGTCGTTGGGACTATCACAGTCTTTTGTTCCGGGCCCTCGGCACTGTCTCCAGAGTCACTCCTTTTTCTAAAAATGTTCTGGTATATTAGGTTTTCGTGGAACTCTTCTTCTTGTGAGTCAGCCGTAATCTACATATAAATAGATTTAATTAGGATTATCGTTTTAATAAATATATATGCATCAAAAATTAAAAGCTTACAAGTTTTCTAGGGGTTTGCACGTCGATTTGGGTTATGGTCCTCTTTTCTTCTGGTTCTTCTTGAGTGCTCTTGGTGGAAGCCAATTCTCCATCGCTCTGGGTACACGGCTCCATCATTTCTTCTTTCAAACCCTTGCCCTCCAAAATTTCGCCATCGGAAAGCGTTTTGGCCAACCTTTTCTTTCCTCGTTTTTCTAATGGTTCAAAATTTATAAAAATTTCCTTAGGACTAGTAGGTAGATATGGTGACCTGAAATAACAAATCTGGATTAACAATTCTACAATTGTCCAGGATTGAAATATATATATTTTCTAATCCAACCAATTTTTAAGTGATTTAATTTGAAGGTTTCTACTCTTATTTTCCAATTATCAAGTACTAATGACAATCAAAGGTAGAAACAAACAAAATATTTAATTTTATTTCAATCTAATTTTTTATTAAATTCATTAGTTTCGTGGTCCCCTTGACCAATTAATATCTTTCAATTAATTAAGGTTTTTAGTTGAGTTAAAAAAGTCAGTGTCACGAGCGGGATTCGAACCCACGATCTTCGGCTAGATACGCCGCTGCTCTATCACTTGAGCTATCGTGACCTCGATCCGCTCGGACCCTAACTTCCCATCTCAACCTCACCTTTTGAATTTTCCCTCCTTTTTGCCATTTTTCTAACTAGTGAATTTAATAAGTTTAAATGAAGGGTACCTTCACTAAAGCTCTCCGTGGCCATTTCATTCGTCAAATAGATTACACGACATTTGAAAAATGGCAAAAAGGAGGGAAAATTCGTAAGGTTGGGTTGAGATGTGAAGTTAAGTGTCCAAGTGGATCGAGCAGCGGCGTATTTAGCCGAAGGTCGTGGGTTCGAATCCCGATCGTGACGCTGACTTTTTTATCTCAACTAAAAACCTTAATTAATTGATAGATACTAATTTTTTATCTTAACCAATACCTTACGTAAAGATTAATTAGTTAAAAAAGTTATTTGGTCAATCGGACCACGAACTCTAATCGACAAAATATTTAATGTCGGATTATTTTCACGTAATAAAGTGCTAATATCAATTAAAGATAGAGATTAATAAATTAAGTTCCGTTTAACCTATTTTTATTATGAGAAAGTATTTAAGTAACATGCATAGATGCAATGTTCATATGAAAATGTATTACGTATTAAATTAATTTATATTTTTCTTCATTAAAACTAACAAAAACTACATAATGAACAAGCCAATTAAAATTAAAAACAACTTTGGGGCCTCATTATAAATTTGATTTTAACAACGAATTTGCAATGAAGAAAAAGTCAATTGAAGTTATTTATTTAGAATCACAAAAACTAATCACCACACATTTCAAATGAGGATGTTAAAATCTGTAAGAATTAAGAATTTATTATATACTAGAATAAGGTAGAGTCGATAGGATTTTTCAAAATAGCTGGCTATAGTTAAAAATAAACGATGAAAAATGGCAAAAAGGAGGGAAAATTCAAAAGGTGGGGTTGAGATGGGAAGTTAGTGCCCGAGTGGATCGAAGTCACGATAGCTCAAGTGGTAGAACAGCGGCGTATCTAGCCGAAGATCGTGGGTTCGAATCCCGCTCGTGCCATTGACTTTTTTATCTCAACTAAGAACCTTAATTATTCGTATAATGTTGAAATTCACATTTGACATATGACAGTATCAATTTTTAAATTGATCATTTTTCAGGCTAGAATGACGGAATGTACATCTTTCTTTAAGAAACATTGTGTTTCCCGGTAGCGGCGTATCTATCCGAAGGTCATGGGTTCGAATCCCGCTCGTGACACTGACTTTTTTATCTCAACCAAAAAACCTTAATTAATTGGAATATATTAATTGGTGAAGTTAAAAATAAATCGAAACCAACATCAAAGTGATAAAATTGTTAAAATTGTCCACAGTTTTGACAAAATGTTTGATTATCCTCGACAGTAAAATAAAATCCGATCATTAAATTTAAAAAATTGTCTTTCATCTAAGTAATTCTTTAATAAGTGCAGCTGGCTAGATTTGATTTTTAAAAGAGTGTCTCTCCTTTAAATTTTCTCTCAAATAATTCCAGTCACGAACTTTTCCCTTGCCACGCCGTCATAGTTTAGTTGTTATGAACCTAAGGGTTAGTGTAATGGGCTGGCAGAAACGTTTGACCTTTCCACTAAACTTGTTATTAAACTGCTGTATTTTGTCTGATAGTTCCTTTGTAAATTAATTTTCATTTATTTTATAGGATTTAATTCAATTAAATTTTAATACTGTGCTGAAAATGCTATCAGAAATTTGGAATTTTCAGAGGAACAAAAATTTGCTTCTATTTTACAAATAATCTTAGAGACTGTCGAATCACAGAAAAATTTCTTCATTTAATAACCTTTCATATATGCATGATATATACATTACTGTGATTGACACTCCTTTGGGAGGAGAAACCAAGCTTCAAAGGTGAAAAAACGTGGGCTCGGTTGATGGAAGGGGGTGGAAAAATGTATCATGTTCGCATTCTTTTCCTTTCTGTTTTTGTTCATTTGAGAAAAAAATGTACAGTAAACAAAACAATGTTTTCTGGATAAAATTTGGCTGACTGAACTTAGTGTGGAATGGGGTCGGTGGTACCATTGCATTGCCACCGAAGTCTCCTGATAGGACCCTAGGGACTTTGTTTGGGGTTTTCTCAAAACAACAAGTCTACAAGGTACAGGTCAACAGCGAAGAAGATTTAAAGAGAAGAATAACTGCTGTAGCACAAAAACTTAGGGCCAAGTTAAATCTCCCAGTTACTGTGAGAGATGTTCGGGAAACGAGCAAGTTGGGCTTCAGGAACAGGGGATGGCAGTTTATTAGTAAATTGTATCCTGAATACATTGTTTTCTTTAATGTGCATATTTTTTAAAATGAGAATAAAAAGAAAGGAAAGGAATGCGAACGTGATAAACTTCTTCCACCCCTTCCATCAACGGAGACCACGTTTTTTCACCTTTGAAGCTTGGTTTGTCCTCCCAAAAATGAAAGGTTATTAAATGAAGAAATTTTTCTGTGATTCGACAGTCTCTAAGATTATTTGTAAAAGAGAGACAAATTTTTGAATTCCTCTGAAAATTCCGGATTTTTGATAAGTTTTACATTTCCTTTGCTATAAATGACATTTAAGAGTGTCGCAAAGATACTAAAATGGTGTAGTCCTCTAGAAAATTTACCGCACTTTTCGAAAAAGGAGTTAAAACTGCAAATAAATTAGTGAAAAGTTTGGAAAACCCGATTTAACGGCATAAAGTCCGAATTTTTTTCGAAAAACACAAGAACAATCATAACTCCGTTTTGAACAGAAATACGACCCCCGCTCTCGCGGCATTCCATGAAGTTTCACCCAAAGAAAAATTGTCACACTGATCCGAATCCACCCTTTATACTTAGGTGTTAAAATCTATTTTTATTATTGAATAATTTAAAAAAAAAATCCAGAGACTAAATTGCTACGGCCATTTCAACCTTTTAACCCTCATTTGTCATGCAATGTCAAGAATGCAATTAAAATAATTTTTAAAATAATACGTCTCAATTAGTTAGTCTAATTAAGGTTTTGGTTGAGATAAAACAGCCAGTGTCACAAGCGGGATTCGAACCCACGATCTTCGGCTAGATACGCCGCTGCTCTACCACTTGAGCTATCGTGACTTCGATCCAGTCGGACACAAACTTCCCATCTGAACCCCACCTGAATTTTCCCTCCTTTTTGCCATTTTTAAGATAATGCAATAATCTAGAAATTTAAGTTATTAATGCATTCTTAATGTACGGAGTAATTTCTCATCAGCATTCATTATAATTTTTTAATAAGAAACGATCAAGGGTAAGGTCAATTCGAAAGAAAACACGCAGTTTAGTCATCGATCTTTCGAGGAATACCCTTTAATCAGGGCTCTTCAAATTTAAATTAATTATTGATTACGTATGAACAAATATTGACAATTTTCAAACCTACAAAATTAAGAATTCAATTTAGCGAAAAGAGACCCTCCTCTCTATCACTTGACCTTTAATCTTACTTTACTCGCATGAATATAGGTTTTAAGAGAATGAATAATTAATTATATATATATCTTTAGAAATTTTCGAAGGCAACAAGAACATTCAATTTTAACAGTTTTGGAGAAACATTAAGAAAAATCAACGAATATATTTAAATTACGGGATTTATCTATGTGGTCTGTGCAGTGATGAACCTGTAATTTTGTTGTTTATCTTTGCTGATTTGGTCTATCGGACCTGTTTTGACAGTTTATTTATTTTTTAATCACTTATAAATTATTAATTGTCGTAATTTTTACAATATATCCAAATGTTAATTATGAATATATAGATTCATCTGTTTTATAACTTCTTTGGTTCAGGTCAAGATAAATAATAGAATAATAATAATGGAAAAATAATAGAATTATTATTCTAACAATAGGAAAAAAAAAAAAACGAAATGCAGATAGGACAAACCAACGCAGATAGGAAAGGTAGTCCAAGATGCCCGTAAAGATCACACTATCTTCTTTCTAAGATACCAAATGTGAAATTAAACTAATAAAAAAGTTATCTTTGTTACAGATCCAATTTAAATATATTGAATTCTTGGTAATTGAATTACAAATTAGTACAGCTCTTGAACAGGTTTGTTGTATTGCCTGATAAATTTTATGATGGTGCAATGATGATAATAAAATCTTGTGATGTTACATAATAATCTTAAACGCTTTTTTTGAAATCACAGCTTGTGAAAAGAGGTGTTTACGAATTGCCACAGCGATAAAATTTCATTAGGGAGAAAAGTTTCTGCACTGTTGGAATAAGTCCAAAATCAGAGTGCGATATCCTCGAACTTGAAAACACCCTCTCCACCAGGCCTCATTTAGCTCTTTCAAAGAGGAAACCTGAGAGCTTAACGGAAAGGGCACAAAACCTACTTTAAAAGTTAGTTCTCGCTCACAGTTTGTTGTTTTCAACGATCCGGATTTCAATCATTAAATGCTTATTGTCAGGTTGAAGGAGTTACAAACACGTCTCCGGTAATGAATTGAGAGGTGAACCTTGAGTGAAGTTTGGGTAGAAGAAAAAGTTGAAGTAGGCTCAAAGAATACATTCAATAAATGAACGTTGAATTTTGGCAAAATGGAGAGATGTTATGGATTTTTGCGAACAACGGACCTCATCGACCCAGGCGAATCTAGCCAAAAAATATGA